GAACTATATGTAACTTGCGCTATACGCAAATGTTCTAAAAAAAATATCTTAAAAATATAAGTCTGATAGTGTTGACACGTTATGTCCCAGGTAGCAAGCTACGTCATTTTGACGTCGTTATGACGTCAAATGACGTCTTTTTGCCGTCAAATGACGTCATTTTGACGTCAGCTTGCTACCAGGGGTTGGTCAATTTCTTTGGCGCCTCTTTTTTTTTTAAACGATAGACCGACCTCCAATCGAAACATGAAATCTCCAGCGCACGGACCTTCGGGCTCCAGCCGTGCAGTGCTCGGGACCTGGCAACTGTGGGCGAGACACTGACATGCCTCCTCTACACGAGCCGACGAGTTGTGTCAGATCGAGATTATCGGATCTCAATAATATTTAATGTATATATTTAAGTATCAGCGCACTCCCCGCCCTAATGAAGAAGTAAACGGCAAAGTCCACGAAACTAATTGGCATTATCAGTGGATAAAAAGACGGCGATAAATTTTAAAAATTGAAGAAGCCGAACTTATCGGTTCGTTCTGTTACTATTAATAATTATGTTTGTTTATTTAAATATACTAGATATATGTATAAGATATTCCAGAATTTGTATAGAATATATACTGCGATTCTCTGTACCATGAAGAGCAACTATTTTCTTTGGAAAAATTGCATTCAAATAGTTTTTAAAATATAGCAATTTATGTAATGAGCGTAATGAGCAGTAACGAGCGCTCTGAGCTATGCGTGAATTAGAGGTGCTCGACCTAAATGCTATTTTACTACTTTTTCATTATTTTATAATAATTACGATATTTAAGCGGCGTTATTTTAAGTACAATTTTTCACGAAAGAAAATTTACTTTAGGTCGTTGCTTTCAGTGATAATTTTCCGTTATCAAGTTATATTTATAATATTGACGCTTGTTTTTTCTGGATCAATTTACGAAATTAATCGTACTTTTCATTAAAAAGCGGTGGAAGTCGTGTTGAATAAATCAACAATATCGTGTCTTTCATTAACGCAATGAAGGAGACAAAGATCGCGTTAATATAACATGATCAATTTACGCCACGTTTCTTATCGATTATCGCTGCGACGACAATGAATTAATCTTAATTGACTTTTATGAAACGAGCAACGTGATGGGGAATTAAGGGAATGAGTGGAAAAGTGTGATTGGAACGATTTTGAATCGATTAGTGAGTCTATTTTCCGAACTTGTGATAGTAGTGAATCTATATTTTTGATACAGCTCGAAAAATATATTAAAAAATATAAGAAAGCATACAGTATTTTCTATTACAATATTATAATTATTTTAGTATAAAGATCAATTTCGTTATAGCTCGTATATGTGCACAAGTCAAAGAACAATAACAATTAATAAATAAATATTTAAAACGAGCAAAATTAGGTGATCGATAATATTAATTATTTATTAATTATATGTATAATCTCACGATACATTTTGACTTGATGTAGTCTTCTTTAGTGGTGAATAAATTGCAAACAAATTACAAATTATGAAAATAAATTAAGCACATGACGGGAGAGGATTAATATAATTTAAGTTTTAATATAAATTAAAATTTCGTAAGGATCTCATCTTACCAACGATTAAATTGATGTCTAAAGAAATTAAACCAATTGAAATTGATATTTGACTTTTATTTATTGTTATTATGATTATTTTAATTACCAAAAAAATTTTGCTTGACATTATTATTAAAAGATGTATATTAACCGTAACAATAATTGGATAACGTGAAAGATGGGAGTGGTTCACTTGCACACCGTAGCAATTATCTGTAAGTCACAGCGACTTCTGCCTAGGGAATTTTTTTATTTTTTTTTCTAGCGCTGTGATTGGCTTGTGCGCAATTGGCTCGTGTGCAATTGCTATATACACTGGAAGATAAGCATTTTCTTTTGACTAAATAGTAACCGTATCAATAATTAGAAATACTACGATTTTTATCTTAAGTGTATAAGATTAACAAAATAAAAGTAAAAATTTTAAAAATTAACATTAATTGCTCAAATTGCAATTTTAGTGGCTGTACATGTGTTAAGTATCTTACTTATCTCCTTCCTCCTCATAATTTCCTAAACTTATTGCTGTCCACCTTGTCAAAGGCTACCTTTAAGTCCGCAAACATCATGTAAATTTTCCCAACTCCTCCGTCTCTCTTCTTCCTTCCTTTTGTATAATATGGGATAGCACAAAAATGTCGTCGACCTTCCTCTTTTGAAACCTGTTTGTGTCTCCGGAATTATTCCTTTTCGTTCTACTTCCCTTTCCAGTTTATTCGTCATTATTTTCGCATAAATCTTGTACGCATTTCGATATCCGTGTCTGCGAGAGTATACGCAATATAGGTGACAGCCAAATACGTTGTGCGTGGTCCTCAGTGGTTCAAGGCGACTTTCCTTATGTCATACTATGCATTGGAGACTGAGGATTGCGAATGGAAGATTAGAATTCAGTTAATTAGAATGAAACGGATTAAAATTAAAACTACCTGATTAGTTGAATTCTAATTCGTAATTTGCAATCCTCAATCTCTAATGCATAGTATGACACTGGTATTAGGCGTTGCCCTAAAGCCGGTTCTATGTATACATTAGTTGCAAATTGATCGCAAGTTTGTTGCGACAGCCAATATGAAGCATTGATTTCAAAATGCAAGCTTTGTAATGTAGAACCGGCTTAAAAGAGCTTAGGAGTCTGCCTCAAGGCGTTGCCACGACGCGGCTCAGGGTTACAGCCCCAAGGCGTTGCCGCTAATCGGGGTGCATGCCCCAGATATTGCTTCTCAGAATTGACGGAACGCAAGTGTAATATGCGCTAAACTGGACAGAGCTCGTTATATATTGTTCATCGCTGTAATACATCTCGTGAATCACCATTATTATTATTATACGCAAACTTGTAAGACGTTCAATAAACAATTGTGACTATAACTAATACATAATAAAGAATGGCTCAAAAGATTTAAATAAAAGAAATTAAAATAAGAAGAGCTACGAATCAAAACAAACAAATTTTAATATATACTTGACACAGTTGACATTAAACATAAAAGTAAAAACATGATAAAAATATGTTTACTTAAAACTAACATTTCAACCACCTTCGGGTCATTTTCAAAGTTCTAATCTATAACTATAACTAATCTTGTACTGTGACATTAATTAATTGACGTTTACGCGAAACCGCGGTGCGGACAAGTAAATTGTTCGGACCGATATGCTAGACAATAAAATGTGGATTTTCCATTCTATTTCCATATAAGAATGACACAATTTTCATGAAAAAATGGAAATGCGAATTTCTGTATAGTTTCTATTTCGATTCTAAATAGAAAACCCAAATTTGGGATAAAAATAGATTTGCTAATTGGTATCGTGGTGCGATTCACTTATTTGGGCATTCTAATCAAAATCTAAGATGTATTTGGGAAAATTTTGGGAAATTTCTATGCGGATCACAATAGTATCAACAGCAGTTTAATGTATTACATCTTCTCCTCTTTCTTCCTCTTCTAAAACAACTGTTTATATTACCGCGAGTTAAATTTCTTCAAGAAATTAAAAAAAGATAAAGAGTAAATTCAATCGAGATTGAAACTTATTTTATTTAGAAGACGTATTTAGGAGTGATTTCGCAAGTATTCAACGAAAGTAGAAGAAAATATTGTTAATTTTCACACTAAAATAATGCGATCAGCGGCGATTAATTAATTCTGACTAATTTAGGAGTAATGTAAAATTTATACTTATTTATATTATCGTTAATTTTTTAAATGTATATTTGAATGTTACACTCAAGATGACAAGATTAAGTTGACGGAACGTTTGTAATTAAATTAGCATATTGTCATAAACAAATTTATAATAATTTCGCATAAAATATCCTGCGTTGGCTTCTTATGCTCTTTAATATTGAATTGTTTTATTGGTAAAGCCTTATTTTACTATATTATCTTATTTACTATTTGTGGAACTGGACCAGTTTAAATAAAGATTACTTATCGAGGATGGCTTGTAAATACCTCTCTACTAAGATATCTCACGATTAAGTTAAAGAAAATAGAAAAATCAAGAAACCTTGAGAAAATAGACATGATTGCACTTATTAAGAAACACTATCTTATTAAGAAATACTACTAGTTTATTTTTGCAGCTGAACTTTTTACGCGATTTCTTTTTCCTCTTTTTCTCTTTAAAAAAAAGAAAACATAAATATACGCAGTACTTCAGCTAGAAAGAACAGATTTTTTATTTATGTATCGCATATTATTTAATCACGTGAGCTTCTATATCAGAGAGAGGGAATACCCCCATGACTTGCCATGCTGCATGGATATATAATACTGAGTGACAGACTGTTGGTCAATTACGCACGTATTTTTGCAGAAAAATCTTTTGATTTGTTCCGTGTTAAAAGCAAATTTAATTAATAGAAGATAATTGCAGAATTGATTACAGGTATTTAAAACGAATCTTTGTGATAATGTAAAAGTATAATATTAATGAAAATAGTTATTAGTCTTTATTTCTATTAGACATACAATTTAGAGATTTATCAGATATAATTAAACTAAGGAACGCTATTTTGCAACACGAGTGTGAATATTTATTTCCGACGTATTTTTATGTGTTGAATATGAATCCGTTGGCAAATGTTGGTTCCTACGTCACAATTTTGAGAAAAATAATATCAAAGGAGCAAAAATTGTGATCTTTGCGCCATTTTTTACAAAATTTTGACGTAATAGTTAACTTTTGCCAACGGATTCGCGTTCAACGAAAAAAAAATACATCAGAAGTAATTATTCACACTCGTGTAGCCAAAAAAAGGTCAAATTTTTTGTTCCAATGTTATTTATTTAATAAAAATGATAAATCCTTACTTTAATCAGAGTGTAGTAACTATTTATATAACTCATATCATTCATATTAATAATAGCGCAATGTATAATAGTACAGACAGTTAAATATGAATCCAGCAGAGCACGCTTCTTTTAACGAAATACAAAAACGCGGCGTATCAATAGCAATAAAAGAGTTTGCCAAAGACTTAAAAAGTATATCTGGGACATGTATGGATGTCGGTTGTGGTCCCGGAGACATAACAAATAATATGCTTTTACCATCTCTTGACTCAAATGCTGTAATGATTGGTAAAAAGTAACAAATTTTACGACGTAATGCGGTGTAAAAATTATTCTTTAATTCAATGATCTTGTAGGTGTGGATATTAGCGTGGTCATGATTGAATATGCGACGAAAACGTACTATCACGATACACGTCTCAAATTCGAAGTGTTGGACATTCAAACTAAAAACTTGCCGGAAAAATTTATTTCTAAGTTCAATCATATATTTTCATTTCATACTTTGCATTGGTGCAATGATATCAGGTAAAAAAGTTTTTAAATAGGTATAAATTTATCTCTTTTAAAATTATAATTTTATAGAAAAAGAATTATATATGTATATATATAAAACATAATTTATATTATATATACAAATTAATAATATTCCTTTTCGTTACATAACAGAAAAGTATTTGAGAATATGTACCGCATGCTTCAATCTGGTGGAACTATCCTCGTACTCTTTCCAGCATCTCATGATACGGTATACGAAGTGCTTAAGAATATTGCGCAAGATTCCCGTTTTGCGCCTTACTTACAGGTCAATATTTACTGGTCAATATTTATTTGTATTTGTTCGCAATTTTTTAGTTAAAATATTAATTATTACTTTTTCACAGAATCCATATAAATATATATCACCGTTTTATAATTCAATCCTACCTAATGAAGATCTAAAAGGTTTACTTGAAAGTGTCGGCTTTAACATTCAACATTGCAGTCTTCGGGAGATAGATTTTTCCGAGATAAATGCGGATACTTTTCTATGTTAGTTTACTTGAGTAATGTGTAAAAATTTTACACATCTTGTAAGATCATATTACAATTTTTTGTAAATTTTTTATTTACACATTTTATTTATTTTAATTTATTACTCTACAATATTTTATAATAATATTTATTACAGTCTATTATTAACAATAACGTATTAATACATTTTTATGTTAATTTTTCGATAGCTTCGATTATGTCCATTTGTAGCTTTTTGGACGCGATGCCGCCTGAACGAAAAGAAGAATTCATAGTTGAATTTCGACGTGAATACAAGAATTATAAATGTAAATTGTACGGCGATAATAAACATGATGGTAAGAAAGCACCAATATTAGATATACACAAATTATTGGTTGCTTATGCACAAAAAGATGCGCAATAATTAACAGCATATTACATTTTATATTACATTTACAAATATTTGTAATTTAATATAAAAATTAAGTATATAAAAAATCTTAAAAATAAGAGGGCTTATGTAAGCCAGAACGCTGGATATTATATGCATCCAAGTATAAACGTAGTAGGAGAACAATAATAATCAAGGGGGAAAAGAGATCCAGAACTGGGAGATACGTGTTAGGTAGATGTTCTATAATGCCTTGCTTATTGAGATCAATGTTCTGCTTTTTAATATACATATATTACCTCAGACATCGCTCTCCTGGGAAGGCTCGTTGTGTTCTGATATGACTGAAGGAGAACCACGTTTTTTATTGATATTTCTCCTACACTGAAAGAAAAGATTGGCTGAATATGGCATAGCATTTTTAATTGGTTGGAATCAATTTTGCATTTATAGCCTATTAAAATCCTATATTTTTGCTGATATACAAAAATTGGCTGGTACAACCAAAAATTGGCTGCTGCATCCAATTAAAAATGCTATGCCATATTTTACCATCTAATTTGCTGTAGTAGCCAATCTTTTCTTTCAGTGAACTGCGTTTATACTTGGTCAACTTGTTTTGATCAACTTGTTTTTATTTTTATTATTGTATTGACTTTTAAGGAGAAAGGTTAATAAATGTTAATAGTTTAATATTTAATTTTGGTATTTCAATTGCTGATTGAAACCTGTGAAAATTTATTTATTTTTATGTTGAGTGTGTTGGACGTGAGGATGCAGGTGAAGCACATGTCTCGATTATTAGTTGTATCAATGAGAAGTTCACTTTTGCATAATTTTTGCTACTTTTCTTTTGTTACGATACGTCTTTAGACACATATTTCGAAATATTGCCGAATAGTGCACGGCTTTGCTCCCATAGAGTTCTCACGTCTGCATATTTAGCACAGTTGTGTACGGCGATTGATAGAATCGATTTTTTCTTTCGAAGCGAATTGTTGAAACTATGGTAGCTATAGTTTTAGCTTATATTTTTAAATATTATTTACGAAGTTATTAAAGCATTTTACTTCCATTTCTATTTATATTTTGTATTATATTTTATTATGTAATACAATATTATTGTAGTAAGTTTTTTTATCATTTATTTAGAAAATGGGTAAAGATGTTTTATGTTTCGTTTATTAAGTTAATTATGTTAAGTCTGTTCTCGCATCATAAATGGTATTATAAATGATTATTTCGTGGTATTACATGGTTTTACATTTCGCAATGTTTGCACGCTTAGAATAGAATCCTTTGTCATATTACACGCGTTTCATATACATGCATTTAAATTTTTGTACACACATGAAATCTTCTGTTTGATCGTTAAATTTGTTTGAAGCGCTTATCAACCGGCGAATGTGTACGAATCTCTTATCGGTTATCACAGAATTTGTCACGTTTAGACTTGAATGCTATATAATTATCCACGAAATTTATTGCGTGTTTCTTGATGCAAATCTGATGTTGAACTGTTGAGCTGTTCACAATTCGTAATTTATTATTCGCAAATTATTATTTGTTAACAACTTTATCGTGGTAATTCGAAGATAATTTATTTCTTAACTATTTTTAGTTTATTTATTTCTATTTGTTGTGGAGATTCTTTGTAATCTTTGTTTTTAGGATTTTATGATTATCAATTTATTTAGGTTTTATTTTGAAAAATTGTGAAGTTAATTAAAATGATGAATGATAAATTAAAAGTTATCAAGATTAATTAGAAGTAAAGTGTCGAGTAATTAATCTAATTAATTTTCCAATTGAATTACTATAATGGGCTTTCATGTATATGAGGATTGCGAGTCTTTAACGCGTGTTATACTTGTCATATATGAATCAACACGAATCTGTTGACTCATGCCCTTTGATCTCTTTTAAATATCAGTTTATTGGATAAACGATATGATTGATAAATAATGAATGCGATAATTCTACGAAATTGCCTATTATTTTGGAATGACATTGCAATTAGCGAATTACTATCGCCCGAAAATATTTATACTAATGTCCATTAAGGTAAACTGATCCCAGTAACCGGACATGTACCTATATATATTTGAAATGTGCCCAGCTCTGCCTGTATGTACGTATGACTCAAGGATCTGTTTGAGTATGATCGAGAAGGGGGTGATCCCGATTGACCACGACTCGATTGGACACCACCAATCACAGCGACCGGTGCTTAGGAGCTTTGTAGTCTCAAGCGCTGTGAGTGGCTCGTGTCCAATTGAGCCGTGTCCAACTGGGTGCCACCCATCGAGAAGTATGATCCACATTGTGAAAAAGAAGTGAGACCTGTGTTCTCCCTGCAGGAGATACTCTAATATCTTTGTATCTCCAGAAATTCAAGGCCCTATGACTTGCCCAAGTCTGTATGGCCTAGAGGGGAAAAAAAGAAGAAGAAGAAGGGTATGATCCTTACAATATTTGTAGGACTCGCAAGTTCGGAAAAGTCTTAAATAAAAAAGAGATCATAAACGAGTAGTGAAATTTGATAAAATAAATGACAGGATTAAGCTTGATATCAAGACTGTCTAAACAAACTGAAATCGCTCGAAAATAAATTAACAATAGAAAACTTTTATGTTTTATGTAGAAACGCGTTGTGGCAAATGTGTCGCGGCACGTAACAATGATTACTTTATCGTTTCTTTCTGATGTAGAACACTGCCGACCTCTTTCAGACAGATCGTTGACATTTTTCCGTTTATAACCCACATGACGTATATACACGCACATGATGGCTCATTTTAATTATTCACCTCGAATATAAAAAAAACACATTTCTAAAGAAAAATGTTTCAGACAAAACTTGTATGATCTGTGTATGTATACCGCTAACCACAAATTAGAAATTGTATATGACTTTATCATTATAAGTGGAAAATTTTGCTAATTTAAAAAACTCTATACTTTAAATTCTTCGTAATATAGTTAAAGAGTAAGATATTGAAATAAAAAAAAATGCATTTTATAGGGAATGAAATAAGTAAGAAATATGATATTAAAGATTATCTATAGTAGATAAAGTTTTCCTACGTTACGAATTATAATAAATAAACATATTAATAATAGATTAATCCCTTTTTTGCTTAGTGAGCGCTCAGTGAGCGGTCGTCGCTTCTGGATGCACCCATTATCGCTCGAGAGCAGATCAAAACACTATTAATGATTCCCCGTCAAAAATTTCTGTCTAGTGTATAGATTAAATTTTCCATGGATATGCTTTGATTTCTTATGAATATATGTAGAGGAAAGCCGATACTGACATAGGTCTCCTAAAGTGACACACCTTTATTTCTCAGAAACTAACTATTGCACTTTATTAATACTAATAAAATCATGATCTGTTTAGCTAATTAAAGAAGTACAAACTCATAATTCATATGTTTGTGGCTTATTTCTATACCAAATCAGCTAAAAACCAATTCTATGAATCTGAGAAGAAAATTCTTATGGTGTTCTTTTGCAAATTATGTAATTAAAATAATAGTATTATTGATAATATTATGTCATTTTAAATGTTTATAATTTCACAAATTAGTTTTCTTTACAGAATAGGATATATCTTTATTTATAGAATAGGAATGTTGGCATTATTGCCTACTATGTCAGTTTTGGAGTCTATTTTGTCAGACGCTCATTTTTGCATAACTTACGAAAAACTTAATTATTGCAAAATTGCAAACAGTATTATAAAAATTGCTTATACTATCTGATAGAAGACACTTTTTACTTTGTATTTATGTTTTTGAAGTTGTGAATTTTTACCTTTTATTTAAGAAATATTGTCTAAAAACAAAGTGGTATGTCGGTATTGATGACCTTCCTCTACATATTTAGATGACGTATGTAATTAAAAATAAACTTTGTATGTACATCTGTGTTGACAAAATACATATAGAATTCGTAAACGTTCGGGAAGAGACGCATTCAAATAAATTTCTTCGAAGAAATTTTTTTTATCTTTGCTTGCAAATCTATGATCATTATAATGAAGCCATTTAATTTATTGGGAAAATTCTCATTTAACGAAGAAATTTTAATTCAATTTTTTGGAAAATTTATATTTCTTTGTTAGCAAGCTGAAATTATAGTAATTATTGAATTATGATTATTAAGGCAATCTTAATGATTACTATGGATTAAGACGGTAATTAATAGAAAGACTAGATATGAGAGATGTCAAGTAATATAACAATTAAATATAAAGCCAGAATTTTTTAAAATGATTTTATGCTCGCTTTTGAATATTTTTTCAGTGCTCGCGCCTTTATATTTTTATCATGTATTATTTAACAATTCGGGGGATTTTGTTTCTTTGTGAATTTTTTAAATGATAATTTCAACATAAAAAAGAGGAAAAAATAAAAGAGAACAAACTTTTAGTGCCGCTTGTAAATAGATAAACCACTGGTTTTTATTACAAACCGAGAAGAACAAATAGAAGTTGTAAAGACTAGTATCTTATCTACTGACAGATACATACTAGGTAAATAACCGCAGGTTCATATATCTATAATGCATTAAGAATGATCACTTTGTTATTACTGCACATATAAAACTTTATTATAGCTAATAAATTAAAAAACTGAAAATTGCGATTAAATTAGATTTTAAATTTGAATTGTAATTGCGCCTTGGAGAGAAGTTGAAATTTATAATTGAATCGTCGTAGATTAAACCAGAATTTCAACGTCTTACAGCCGCACACCAGAACGACATGCGACAAATATCTTATAAGAACAAATTTTACAGACTCAAAATCTTAAAAATAAAAATGAACAATCCATACAAGGCTAATAAGAGTTACAGGCTGATGAAGGTGCCAACGATTAAATTCTGTACTATTAATCGATTATGTGGAATCTTCTTTATTTTGAACGTTTCGACTATCTTTGGAGTTCTCCTCAGCAATACATATATCAAATCATTTCATTGAGTCTTCCGTTAAACGTGAGTCACAAACAGATTCCCAACTGAAGTG